TTTAAATATTATATTAATCTAATATTTTAATAAGGCGATCCACCACCCTGTTTCGTCATAAAAAAATCCTTGTATTCCATTTTACGAGTATTTTGGCCGAGCAAATAGTGATCACTTGCGGAACCCTTGTCAACATTCCAGAAAACACTAGAGTTCAGCAGAACCCGGGTTGAAGACACCTGCAATAGATGACTGAACACTTTAGCGCATTTTTCAACATTTGGGAATATGCATATAAATGCACAATTATATTCGTATTTATTTGACGTGCTCTTTCACATATTACGAGCTTACGAACATGTAGGGTCAACTGATAAGTATGTATTTTGGCACTATAGCCTCTTCAGGTTATGGTCATGCCATGACGTACCAGCTTAAGTGCTACGGTTCCGAAGACCTGTCAGTAAGGTCGCAACCGCTTTCTCCATTTGGCAATCTCTTCCTGCAAGAAGCTTTCGTATTATCGACAAGCGAACTCAAGCTTGCGGCATGGAATTTTAACTACTTACACTGAGTGACCTGGAGGGTCTGCATTATATCAAATACTGTATTATGTACATAAATGGTAATAAAGCTTCATTAAAATAATTACATACATGATATAAAACAGGAGTGTCCAACTTGCAAGGCCTCGTGTTTTTCATGGAGGGGGCTTGCACCCCTTGTTGTTTTATGAGACACTATCACGGCACAGGCCTACGTTGATGTTTTAAACACCTTCTTGCTTCCCACTGTTAAAGAGCAAATGGGGATGGCGATTGCATCTATCAACACGATAGAACACCTATACATACTGCAAGGCCTGTGGCGGAGTGGTTACACCATAATAACATCCCTGTAATGGACTGGCCTGCACAGAGTCCTGACTTGAATCCTATCGAACACCTTTGGGCTGTTTTGAAACATCGACTTCGTGCCAGGTCTCACCGACCTACATCGATACATCTCAGTACAGCACTCCGTGAAGAATGGGCTGCCATTCCCCAAGTAACCTTCCAGCAGCTGGTTGAAAGTAGGCTTGCGAGAGTGGAAGCTGTTATCAAAGTTAAAAGTAGGACAACGCCCTATTGAATTCCAACATTACCGATGGAGCGCGCCACGAACTGATTAGTCATTTTCAGCCACGTGTCCCGATACTTTTGATCACATAATTTTAACTGATGTTATTTTCTCGAATATACTATATACTACTCGTTTAAATTATATTTCCTTGTTGTTTCTTTCCACCTTTCGGTCGAATTCTAGAGAAAATTCTGTATTTTTTTTATAGAATATTATTATTGAGTTCGCACTATACGCATTCTAATATCCACGAATCTGTATTTCAAAAAATGTTTCGATCATTGCCGGCATCCCTCTCTGTCATTGGATCGCTCTCTTTCCGAAATGAGACTCTCTGAAATGAACTTATCCGTAAATAAACCTTCCGAATGTGCTGTGAATCTATGTGGACTTGTAAAGTAAATTTGTTATACCTCACGAACCTCGAACGCAAACTTTGACATTATTTGCCTCTCCATGCTGCCGTGTCGATCGACATTCCCCGGATTCTGTGCTCACTAATGCAGAATGGATGTTATCAACTATGTTTGGATTTGGGAAGTCTGATGAAATATGTCAGGATCTATTAGGGAATCGCATTGAGAGATTTATTGGAATTTCTATTTCACCGCAATCTGTTTAACTAATTTACAAAGATTGCAGCAATTATAAGGGATGAAACGGGAATTAATGTTTTCTGCGAAATTTGCGAAGCTGTGTGAAAAATCTAATGCCATCACTTGCTGCAAGAGAGAAAATGCCATAGAATTAATGACAAAGGGTGACTTTGTCAATTGGATCAAACCTTAGCGTAGCGGCCAGCGCACTTAGCTTTAGATTTATATCACTTAGATTCGAAACCAGGACTGGATGCATAAGGCGAGTTCGTATCAGCATTCCAACTAGATAATTATTATTTCATATCAGATATCATAAGGAACAAAATGATGACCACTATAGTTATGGGGGGAAATTGTAAAAAAATATCGGGGACTAGACATAAGCAGTTTCACTACGCATAATAAGAACAATATGACTTTCAATTAATATTGCAATTTCTGAGTTTAGAAAAATGTGAAAAAGTGCAATCGTGAAAAAGAGCAATGTAACTTCTTGTCGGATCCTGATAAAAACCAAACTTTGATAGTCAACAGAAATTAATGAGTAAGTTTACGTGACTTCTGCCAAACAATAATTCTCAGGTCGGGGACCGGTCATGGGACATAATCCATAGCGGGAACGATATATTAAAACTTATCTTTTTAAGTGAAGATTTAAAATTGTAGTACGTGGAATGGAGTACTTGATAGAACCGCAATGTTATGTTACATGCAACGAAAACATGTTACACTAATATCACTAGAACCGTACTAAATGCTTATATTGGTGTTGTTATGAAGAGGAAAGAAGCCTTTGCTCAATCACGCATGTGATGTGTTGGAAGAGATCGGCATCACGCAAAGCACGGCGCAATAGAAAGTTACGTCTAAAGTACGTCTAAACGTGCAGCATCGGTATTGTCAGTTTGTTGGCAACCGAACAATCTGCACCCCTTTGAAACACATCTCATTACCTAACTCAGCCCAAATATTTAGTTATCCCGATCATGTGTTAAGTAGCCATTCCTACCCCGTCCTGTCTCCCCCACCTCCCACTCCCTCGCCTCGCCCCTGTCCCTGTCCCGTCCCGTCCTGTCCACTCGCGCGCTCGGCCGTCTGGCCTCTTTTCTCTGTCCTGTCCGCCCCTCTTCCCGCGCCATCGCTCTCTTCTTCATCCTATCCCGTCCCCTGACGCCCAGTTCCGTCTTGTCCCGTTTCGTCGTGTCCCGTCCCGATCCGTTTTGTCTCGTCCACTCCTTCGGCCTCCCGACCGTTTCTTTTCCCTCATCCCGCCTCGCAATCGGTTTTCTCCCTCTTTTAAGCCTGTCCCTCCCGTCCCGCCTCGGTGCACCCTCTACTTTCTCGCCCCGTCCTGTTTCCCCGACCACACTGCACATCATCTGACAAATGAGGCGTTTAAGACTAACAGATTTTATTGTCCTACTTCTTTTTGTAAAAATACACACATAGGGGCAACATTTTGAATTGCAAACTCCTTGTTTGTTTTTTTCTTGGTTGCTCAAAAATATTCATCAAGGACCGATCATTCCAGTGGTTCAATATTTTTTGTAGAATAAAGCGCACATAAAGACATAAATTCGTATTTAAATAGAAGGCGTCTAGTGGTATACGTTGTGTAGAGGAAAGAAGGCATATCTCTATCTCTACGGCGTGTGCGCAGATGGTGAATGGATGCGGAATGCATGACGCATTCAAACCTTATTTTTCCTTCGAAGCTAATGCGCTGCATTTACAAAGATGCATCTCGGTGGTACTATCTGCGCAGTCACACGAGCAATGTTTTTGACACTCGTTGACGCCAAATAAAATCGAGAAACGTGGTCAGTGATTAACAAGTAGAAATTATTTACATTCATTTCACATTATGCGTGAGTCCTCCTCCCTTTTATTCTTGTCATTGCGCAAGTGGAGAATGTTTGCATAATGTAATTGGATTTATTTAGCTAGAATGCTACAAATTTACTCTTTAATAGCTCCTTTGTAAGAAGTGTTATTTATATGCATAATTATCTCCTTAAAATATAGTTTATTGTGAGCTTAATTTGCGGTGAAAGTAAACAACGCAGGATCTCTGCAATTTGATATTTGTGGACTTAATTCGCACACATACATGTTCTCCTCTACTTTTCAACACGATTTGTATCAATTCTTACATTATTTTTGTTGTCGTTGACGAAATGGGGAAAGGGATGGAAAGGGAAGGATGAAAAGTGAATAGCGCATTAATGAGGGAAAGAAAGTACAAAAATATATTTCAAAATAGGTTATTACATACAAAAATCTGATCTGAAAGCAACTATTACAAACGCAAATATTAATTTGGACAATTGTTATGCCAATGTGACTATAAAACTGAGGTCATGGAAATTCGGGATAGATTTTATTTGTTTATTATCATCTTGTTCGGCCACACTGTCATTCAAGGACTGGAATGTAATATTACAAAATTTCCTTTTAGGTTTAGTTAACCATAACTATTTGTAATACTTATTGTTACTATGTTATATACTAATAAATAATATATAATAATATAAACTATTAAATAATAATGGTCATTTCCGAACTCTTAATTTTATACTTTGATAAATTTAATTTTTTTTGCTTTAAATTGAGTTGGATGACCTCCTTTTCATTTTATCGTACTAGGGAGCCCAGCAGTAAGGCCTTTGTTCTATAGGTAATACTCTGTGGCTTTGCGAATTTCTCACAACCCAAGGAGCTTGAATATTTTTCTAAAGCATTTTCTGTCTTAATAGTAATTTCCCTTTTTCTATGTCTGATGAATTAATCCACACTGAGCATGTAAAGGTTGTAAAAGAAGTAATATAACATTTTAAATAATATCAATGGAAACTGAACTTTTAAGGCGTTTGATATTTAAAAAGGTATAATTTCATCCGTTTTTCACTTGCTTATTGCCAAAATTTACGGTTTTCACGTTAATCAAATATTTAAATTATTTATATAAAGTACAACAAAACGTTAATAATTATGATAAATTTGTGAATTATTTGTGACTATTACATTAGCCTAGACAATGCTTCAAGTATGTATATTGGGTTACCTGCAATGGATGTTTGACACTGAGTGAAAATTTAGATGTGTATCTGAAAAAATGCATTTGTAGATCTTGCAAAAATGTCTTGACAGAGTTCTACGTATTCTAGTTACTGCTAAAAATCATAAATATCTGTTTAACTTTTAAATATATTTATTTTTTGTTTTAAAAGTATGATATTTGCCAAATCGTGAGAAGAAACCTGATGTTAAGCACAAATTACAATTTGTCACGACTCCGTTCATTCCCGCATTCGAGGTCTTCATGCAGTCGGTCCGCTAGTACAGCGTCTGGCTGTTGACGAGCTCGTCGAGCGACACGCTCTCCAGGATGTTGGCGAAGTAGGTGGCGTAGCGCGACTCCAACTCGTCCACGACGCGGTCGCGGTACGCACCCAGCAGCCAGGACGCGATGTGCGACGCCAGCCAGTTGAGCACGAAGCCCAGCCCCGTCACCTCCACCTGCATGTCCCTGCGGCACACACGTCACGCTCAGTGGTTGGGACGCGACATCGAGGTCAATGGTTTCAAAACACAGATGTTCTTGTAGAAACATCGGTATTTTAAACATCGATGTATTAACACCGATTATTTTTTAACATCGATGTTCCGTGATCGATGTTATTTTTCTTTTCCGATGTTCTGTTTCTAAATGAAAACTCCCATGATCACAATATTGTAAAATATTAAATTTGAAATAATAACTGATAGTAACACTGTTATTCATATTTACTAGGCTGTCCGAGTGACGCCGCGTCCATGGCGAAGGTGCCGACGTTTCAATGGGGTAGAGGGGAAATTGAGCCTCAATTAAACTCGTGTGCAGCACATCTCCGCGCATTACGCCCTGAGGAAGGTCGCAGAATGGCGACTGATACGTCGGCACTTTCGCCATGGACGCGGCGTCACCCGGATAGCCTAGTAAATACTGATTCCGGCCGCGGAAGCCTATGCTCTCACTGTTATTCATGTGTTTGGACCAAAGGAACGCTCTTTGTACTACTTTCATTGACAAAAATTTCTCGCCCGAGATGACTACTATGCCCTTGAATTTCCTCTTTTTTCATATTCATTTTGCACATTGAGATATTCCACGCACTGGGCGCAAATCGCATCCCAATACCCCAAATCACTGCGAAGATGTTATCTGTTCTCTTCTAAGATGGCCCACACGCGATATTTTACCTATTGAAGATGCTAACAGGAAGAATATAAACTAAATTATTTGAAATAAGTTAATCTAAAACATACTCTTTTGAAAAATGGAAATTGTTTTTCAATGCGCTTTGAACACATATGCTTAAAATTGAAGATAATTCTTTTTTTCCTACAATTCTTAATTTCTTTTCTTTGATGGTTTTATTACACATTCTATATCCAAAGTCGAAAGAGACATTGTTTAATTTAACAATTTGTAATGATTTTTCTGTTTTATGAATCATTTATAAATAAATTTTGGATAGGATATTTTTGAAGTTTGTATCGGTTAGGAGGTTTTATCATAGTTAATTGTTCTACATAAACTCTTTCAAGGGTGCGCGCGTTGGTAAAAAAGTGCAAACTTTTATTGTCTTGCATTGTCTTGTTACAAAAACCTGGTGTGGTGAAAGTACACAATGTTCGAATGGCAAATTTTCCCCCTTAATTTATTAGCATTAATCCATGAAATTAAGTAATTTAACACTTTAATTTGCTTGAAAGGTTTATTCCAAAAAAATCACTTCACTCCTCCTAACGATAATACACACAAACACACTCACACACACATACACCGACAAACGCACTCCGAAAAAGGCATGAGAAAATAGCATCGGAGAGCAACGGAATATTTTGGACTCAAGAGTAACTATTAATTTTTAAAAGAAACATGGTTTCGTGATGACATCTTCTGTAAAGAATTGAAAACTACGTAAACAGCAATACCTACAAAAACATTGGAATGGCTTGAGGTGATCTTCCTTTTTTCAGTACATTTGAAGATAAGCATTTTGAAGATGAAAGAAGACGTTGCCTCTCCCAGGGCCAATCCTCGCTTTCTACGAGTAGTGCGAAAACGGACGTAATGGAACACAGTTATCTCCGGGGGTACAACGCACTACACGCACGGAACCAACGACCGAAGACGCCGCTCCCAAGGCCAATCTTCGCTGGTGCGAAAGCGGACGTAATGGAACGATGCGGCGTGCGCCACTCACCCTGCTTCGTTGATGCGGAACTCTTCGAGGTAGGCCTTGTCGGCGTCGAAGTCGATGCGCAGGTGCACGTTTAGGGCCAGGGGGTACACCTCGGCCGACAGTGACCCCGACGGCCCCAAGCCCATCACTTGAGCCTCGTAGTGCCTGTACGTCAGCTGAAACCGACAAACACCACCCGCTCCTCACGCAACCCGAGCGCACGAGGGCGTTCAACAGCCAGAAACGACTCTGGTTTAGTGCAGACTAGGCGGAACCCCCTGAGACTGCATCGCACAAAACGAAGAGCTGTCGAGGCGTTTAAATAGATAAGTACAATCAATGCACTGTAAAGAAAATTAAAAACCACAAAATATTGTTTCAGGCCGTTCAGTTCTTACACTGCAAAACTAATGAAATGAAGGTGGTTTGCAAATTCTGAAAGAACACAATTACTATTTAATGAAAAATTGATCTAAACACCTTTCTGAAAATGTAATTGAAATTGATTTTTTTCCAAGATCTGTCTCAATATGTCGCAGTGGATTATTACAGGAAATGCTTCTACCCACCTTAACGTACTTGTATAAACGTAATGCGTCACATATAGTTATACACTGGAATATTTTGTAAAGGAACACACGTATCAAATAATTGGCTGACATTACGTTATAGACACTCATAATATCTTAATTTAAACACACTCAGAGTATTTCAACTTTTCTCCTTATCGAGAACAGCGTCGGGACTTACGTAAAAAAAGTTGAAGACTGAACGAACGTTTAGCACGAAACTTCAGATTAAATTGAACAATTTTTTTTCAACGCGGATGAAATGTTGCGCACTCACGGAGAGGTCGTCGAAGGCGATGCCGCCCCAGATGCTGAAGCCGCTGCCGTTGGCGTCGTGCCAGAAGAAGGCGTCGCCGCTGCGGTGCGCGGACGTCAGCCCCTCGGCGTAGCCGTCAGTGGCCACGAAGCCGCCGCGGATCGTCACGAACAGCACCTGCGGGCAACGGCGCTGCACTCCCTCCCCGGAAAGAACTACTCGTCCGTCATTTAAACCAATGTCCCGCTAATGAAAGTGTTTTAGCCTAGAAGTATCCTGATCGAGTTAGGTCGTCGAGAAACAATCATAAATGGAGTGAAATTGACAGTTCAATAAAATTGACTACTATGGAAGCCGCAGCTTTAAAAAAAATAACGGTACATATACAAAATTTAACCATAAGTGTAACTGTTGAAGGTAGTCAACTTGACCATGGAATGGGTCTAAGATAGGATGTGTTTAAGATAAGACATTTGCTGCAATACAATGTTCTCATGGGAAACTTGTTCCAAATTTTTGTTTTTCTCGTACGAAGTTTTTGTGAGTAATTAATTAAAAACCAATTTTTTAACTGTTCTACATTTTCGGTTCACTATAAAATGTCAATCTTGGACTTATTTAGAGCTGACTGTGACGTAAATCAATTGTAACTGAGTCATCCAATCGGAAGGTAGAACATCACTATAGTGACGTCACTGTAGTGGCGTGTAAGCTCTCGATGGAATGCCATCGTAACAACTGATGACCTGTCAGAGGCAGCTGTAAATGAATTGCAGTTTAGTGGTGCTAAAACAGCACTTACTTTCTTGCTCGTTCTTTCATGCAAAATTATACGAAAAATACTCAAATTTTGAAAAATTGTACATGACCTTATTTCAAAGTCTATCATTAAGGAACACATTTGATGAACGGGAAAAATCTCTATCATTAATATTTCAGTTGTAGGAACACATCGACAAAAAATTTAAACTTTTGCAATTTTCGAAAAACCAGAGTTTTCAACGAAAATGAGACTTGAACCATTCTCCTATGTGCGTCACACTATTTAAGAACAAAATTTAATAAAAAAAAACGGAGTCATTTTTCTGATAATTATGAAAATGTTCCAAGGGCTTTATGTAAAGTACACCATAAAATTAAAATATCGGTTTTAAATTCATGGGGCCGCGTCATCAGTCAATTTCATTGAGGAATATCAATTTTGGAGAAATTCGGCTGAATAGTACAGCCGCTAAGACGGAAGGACAGATGGGCGGATAGATAGAGTTTTGCTGTCATTCAATTTTTTGGCACCAAGGACCCCCAAAACATGGATTCTGGTTACTCTACTTTTATACATTTAGATATTGGAATTATTCACTTTTTCGTTACCAGGGCCCGATAATAAGAGTTTTTTTGCCAGATACTCGCCGTTTTTTCACGCACCATTACATAACTTTCTCTCTACTGCGCAAGTGGTAGTGAGAAAATAAAAAAGGAATCTTAGCCTCCTCAGGGCTACGGTGAAGGGAAGTTAAAGGTACATAGGAGTAGTGTATGTTGTAACTTGTGAATATATTAGTGACGTTTCTGCCTCTCTTATCTACTCGCTCGTTTACAAAACCAGAATACAAAACAACTTCCCATATCGAGTATTTCTTAAAATATTTGCGGAATCACGATAAGTCTAAACGGGCAATTGGGAATCGTACCGCTTACTAATAGTATGCAAGTTTTAAAATATAAGATTAGTAAGGAAGCCTTAAATAGGCGTACATGAATAGTAAGATGAAATAGACTATTAGCTATGCATCAAACTGAAAGAAAAATTTGAAAAAATAACACCTATCTCTGCTCCTCCTTTACCTCTCGCTACTTGTGTGGTCATGCAATGCTTAGCTCGCAGAGAAAACTGCACGTCATGTATCTAGATTTTTGCTCGTTGCCTGGTAACGTATAATATGTTATTCTTAAATGCGAATTGGATCTTGAAAACTGAACGCAATTTACATTGAATAATCTTAAAGTATTTGACATTTTATTGAGTGTGAAAGGAACCAAGTTGAAAAGGCAATTGTTTTACAAATAATTATGCACAGAAACTTCGTACGTGAAAAACAAAAGTCTTTCATGTGGAAAAGGTTGTTCCCAGAAGAACTACTTATTGCAGCCAATATCTATCTTAAACACACCTATTGACTTCTTCCTGACTCATTCCATGGCCCAGTTTACTGCCTTGAAAAGTTTTACTTGTACGGTTATTGTTTTTAACCGACGGCTTAATGGCATTTAACTTTATTCAACAGTCAACTTCACTCTATTTGTGATTGTTTCTGATAAACCTAACTAACACACATTGTCTCTACACTCAAACATTTCCATTTCCATTAGCTGGACATTAGTTTAAATAATCGTCTAATTTAAAAAACAGATATACTATTTCTTTTCTGCTCTTTACAATTAGAGTTTGGATACAAATGTACCTATTTTTTATCTGTAGGTAATTTTTCGATTAAATTAGGAGAACTGTTTGCTGTTCAAGGAAATTAATTTGTAGGGATTTCAATAACGTTTTTCAGGCTGTAACAGTGTTCGTGATTCATCTAATTTATTTTCTTCTAGCGGAAGCAACCTGGCATTGTCCGGGTGTTTATTTAATACTGACATTTATTAGCCAGGAAACGGAATGAATTCTATATCTACATTGTAAATTGGAAGTAATCTTCTTCAAAGTCTGCCTGCTCCGCTCCCCACCCCACCCCGCTTCACCCGCCGGTCGGCCCGGCTCCAGCGGAACGAATTTCCAGGATTGATCTTTAATTACTTGGAACTTAATTGCGCTATCGGAATGAATCAAAACGCATTTTGTAGGGAATTCAATGGGACTTTAGAATTTTCTTCTTATGTGGATTTTCACAACATTTTCAAAATATTAACTAAACTAGTGGTGCAACACCAGCACATACTTTCTTGCATTATTTGTGTCTTTTGCTATTTTTGGAAACACAGAGAGTTCAATGCAAATTAGGCTTCAGTCTAATTTGAAATTAGTTCTTGAAATTAGCCAAGTTAAAGTGCGAGACAGGTATACATTCAATAAAAGAAGCAAATGACTTTTTATAAGATGTAAGTTCGGACAGTTATTTTGAAATCACAATCTCTTTAATTTTATTAATACAGATTGTTTGTGTCTGATGTAACTAATACAGCACTGCTTTCTGTATTACGTCTGGTATAAGTTTGATACTTGGGTCAGACTCCAAAGAGCTTGCGAGTGCGTTTGACTGTCCGTGTTTCGATCATCTTGTCGTGGTGTTCCTCAGGGCTGATCTGGGGAAGACCACGACAAGATGGTTGAAACGTCGGCAACACAGCCTTCGACACGGCGACACCCGGACAGCCAAGAGCACTGGCAAGACTGTCCTCCGAACGCAGACCTCACCAAAGAGCGTGCTTTTGTCTGCCAGTCTCGTGTAGGTCATTGCAAAACTAGTGGTGCTAAAACAGCACGTACTTTCTCGCCCGTACTATCATGCAAAATTACGCGTATAGTAACTCAAAGTTTCGAAAAATTGTACAGTTCTTTATTTCAAAATCGAGAAGGGAATATCAGTTTTGGAGAAAATCGGCTATTGTATCAAATACAATGTTTTTTAATTCAATAGCAGCTTTCGATGGCTTAGCCATCATCATCAGTTGTCTGTTAGATGGAAGCCACAAAACGACTAGCTATTGAATTAAAAAACATTGTTGGCAATGACAACATCTTTAATTATTTTAAAAATGCCAAAGATATCTTACCACAACACCTATATTGTATCAAAGCCCCCCAAAGCACGGATTCTGGCTACACCTTGTGTTAGAGGATTTTGTTCTCTAAATTTAGCAACTGGATTTATTAACTTTTCTTCATTAGGACCATGTAATAAGAGCTTTTTTTGTCGCGCGGCGTCCCATAGCTTCCTCTGTACTGCGCAGCGAGGCGGTAAAAGGTCACCTTGCGCTCGAAGCCCTCGCGCAGGTCTGGGATGGGGATGAGGTCGGAGCCGTTCTTGGCCAGCACGGTGCGCGCCGCGCCCAGCACCAGGTCGACGAAGTGGTCCGCCGACTCCTTCGCCTGCTCCTCGTACTGCCTGCGCACGCACGCGCACGTAGGTGTCCAACTTGGGTGTCCAACGTGCCACGCCTCAAGTGCCACTAAAACTAAAACCCTTTTAAATTATTGTTTAGGCCAACCCAGCCCCCGCGCGCATCCTGCTTCAGCAGATGCAAGTACCTTTATCTCGGGGGATCCCGAATTTTATCCACCAAGGTTGTTAGCCCTGGGGGTATGGGTGATCAGACGATGATGATGATGATAGGAAGGAACACACATATAGATAACACAAATATACCCATGCTCGAGGCGGGACTCTAACCCACGGTCTTGTGGTTCGAGATCGTAATGGCACTTCCGCCCTAACGATCTCGGCCACCTCGACCAGCTAGAACCTTTAATATGGTTGCTGGTCACATTTTCATTTCCTGGGCCATCCACGCCTGACTTACCCGTATTGTTGATCGTGCCAGTTTGGCCGGTTGCTCTGAAACGGGGTCAGGGAGGCGGGGTGTGGAGAAAGGAACCATGCGTGATAATGAAGTTGACCCTAGCAGGGCGTGGGTGCTATGCACACAATATTCTCGCCCGACATGAATGCAAGAGATTTTAACGTTTGACTAATACCCTTTCGCGGACCACAATAAATGTCAACTCGGACCGCCAGTTGGACAACCCTTGAACAGCAAATACTTCTGCTTTTACAAGGGATAAGGGGGTCAATAAATTACGTAACACAAATTTCGAATGTTTTGAATAACTCCTCTCTCACCCTGTAACGCGAGCTTGAACTTTCCCTAAATAATTACGAACGATTGCAATTGCATCCCCCCTATGTAAATGCAAAAAGTGAAAATAAATTTTAGCACAGTAAAAACCATTTGTATTAATTTTGTTTGTGTTTTATATTCATGTTTGCTTTATATTCATGTTTTTATTATTCACGATCATTTAAGTAGGAATTAGTTGACGATGCTGGCTGCACCTAACAAATCTAATAAACTTAATTTATTTATATTTTTAAAAATAATTTATTAGTTAATATTTCAATGTTTTACTAGAAGGCTCAAACAACAAATTATTTCAGCAAATGTTGAAAAAAAAACAAATGTCAAATATACTTAACAATAAATAATATCCCCGTTCTCCTTTCAAAGGTAGCGTAACACTGCTACCAACTCCATCTTCCCCTTTTTATCGTTACGTAATTTATGGACGGCTCCTAAGATAAACACGACAAAAGGTGAAGACTGAAGTTGTGTGTTGGTAGGCCTACTGTACAGTACCTAGCCACATTATTATAAACACACCAAAACATCTTGTTTTCCTCATTTGTACTCCGAGTTAGGCATTTTGTAAGGAATATTTTAGAATTTATCACTTTCCTTTAACACATTAAATACTAATTACTGTACCAATTGTTTCTGACATAATTTAGTTACTAATTATTGTTATTATTATTCTAGTAATCTTTGAAATTCAAGATTAAACAAACTTATCGCAGATCATAGGTTACTCTCAGGGTAAATCTAAAATAAAATCATTGAAGAAACTTGAGCGCCTATCGAACGTTTACTGATTCCATAAAAATGACAAATGAGACTGACAAAGATAGAGAAAACACACTAAAATGGAAATGCGAAACAAAGCTGCAAACTACAACATATTTGTACCTTCATATTATTTGCTAGTATTTATTCAAAGACGGATTGTTTCACAACATAACAAAAATAGGAATGACAAACACATGGAACTGTAACTAACAATAATGGGAAAAAAGAAACCCATAGAAACATACCTCACAACAATTAAAACAACACGTTTAAATGATATTAAGAAGTGATTAAAATAGAATGATGCAGCACACTTTGGGCGGCGGCGATGGTGTAACGGTTAGCGTACTGGACTGTTGTACCCAGGTTGGCGGGTTCAAACCCGATCGAAGACGTGGATTTCTAAGGTCGAAAAAATCCTTAATGAGCCTTACTTCGGAGGGGAAGTAAAGCCGGCTGTCCCATGTTCGTAGATTTACTTGCATGTAAAAGATCCTCAAGCCTAAATGACGCCTCTGAGCTAAATTCAAAATCGCCGGTTTCTCGCCCAAGATATGCCCACTTTTTCCGCTAGTTGGTGAAAGGAGCATAGCGAAATTTGCGTGGTCAGACGGAAGAGCAGGTTCGCCACGTAAAATAAGGCATTCAATTCAATTCAACTCTTTCGATGTGCTGGCCCGGTGAACAAGGTGACGAGGGTGCACGAGCGCAGTAGCATGCTCCATTCGGCGTGCCATGGATTTGAATCTCGCTTTGGAAGTGTTCTTTCTTCTTCTTGTATATCGTGGCTTGGTTGTCTTTACCACCGTGTCGTCTCTACCGCGTGTCATCTTTCCAACAACATACGTTTATTCCTGGTCTGTCTGGTAGAGCAGAGACCGTATACCCCTGAACGTTGCCGGTTCTAAAAAAATCTGCTTTTCGCAATAAAACGAGAACAGTTTATCCAAGAACTTGTTTTTATTAGTTTTGCAGAGTGTGTTTACGGCTTAGTCGTCCATACAACTTGTTTGTCGAAAGTACAAATCGGGAGATGAAAGGGATTTTTGTGGATCGCTCATGGATATTCCGTTACCTGGTGTTAAAACATCGACATTTGTGGGTTATTCAACATTAAATAGTTTAAGAAAGACGCTTTTAAACTAGTATATATTTTCAACCAGCTGAATGAAATAAATGAGTTCGTAACTGATTTTGTTTCATTATGAAATGCACTTCTCAACGTCGGAAATCCGCTTATCTTCATTGTAATATTTTCTTCATTAAACTGAACTTTAATCTAAACGTTCGGAAATGAACATTAAAATGTTGTACATTTGATTTAGTTTCGACAATTTTACATCCATAACGCAATTTGCCTAAAAGTGCATTCACAGCTCTAACAAAAGCAAAAGTGAGTATTTTTGAAAATATCTCTAACCTCTCGTTTTGAAGAAATCAGGCAGGACTGGCAGGACGTTTTTTAGGTTATATAATCTTTCCATTTAAAGCATTTATCTTCCTCCACAGAACGAGATCTTTAAGGCCGACACCATCCGACGTGTATAGCCAAAACATTTTCTATTCAATACCGTTCGCATTTTCTTCATCTGGGTGTATCGAGCCTTGCTCAGTTGTTTTAAAACTCAAAGGTCTCTTGATGCCTCTCGGCAACTCACGTGATATGATCACTTGTAGTAAGTGTTTTATTCCGGAAGATTATGGAGCCCCTCCCGGTGGGTGTGATCCGTCGAGAAGCTACACGTTGGCTTGCGTGGGATATCTCCCTTCAAATATCTCACTCCAGCCGAGACAAAGTCTTAAGCTCCCGTCATATGTGATTGTGTAGTGAATGCAAATGTAAGTGTAAGTGTGTAAGAGGAGAGAATAGGACAAAAAAGAGGAAGGATAGTTCTCTAGGTTTGCCGGGATTCGAACCCTAGGACCTCACGGTCAGTGTTGCTAAAGATGCAGCGGTAATCCCGGCTAAAGATAAATTCTGCCGGTACAGGGGCAGAAAAAAGGCTTATAATATGCAAAGCACGAATGTAGTCAGTCTAATAACCTTTCGTTACTTTCATGTTCATTGTGAAATGCTCGGCTTCATCTCGAGTTGGTTGTCAATGTTTTATTGGGTTCAACTCCCTTGATTTATTCATTTAGGTTATGGCAACAATTTGCGCGGTAATGGGATACAATTAAAATGTTCATAGATAGTCCTAGGGAGAAACAGGAATGTTTGGCAACACTTCATGAACTGAATCGTGAACAGTGAACTTTATGTATATTGCCCTTGTGTGAAGAGGAGGAGGAAAATACTACAGAACATTATTGCAAAATCAAAGACTTTAGATAAATGTGGCTTGCATTCTGCAGCGCTTACTCTTTTTTTCCATGAACGAGATTCTTTTATATTCCTAAATTTTTTATGGAATGATAAATTGAGAAAGAAATTAAACTTGTGTAATAAAATTAATGTTAATGAAAGAGTAACCTTATAATTAATCACAAATGTAAGGCAACTTGGTTCACTGAAGAAGACATGCTGTGAGCTTGTTGTAAACAAACGTTGGAAGCTAATTGTCAGTTCGCTAATTACGTAGAATTCCAAATTAAAGGCCTTCCCATTTCGCCGAGGCTGTTTCTCAGAAGGTCAGTAAAGTGAAGGGCATTTGGAGGCACCACGATATTCTAATCTCTATTCACTTTGAACTTCAAGGAAGCAAACTTTGACTCTGTACTGGAAGGTACGGTGGTTGACTGTGTTCACTATTTACTAGCCCGCAAGGAGTAAGGTTATGTTTACTGCTACAATTTTAACACAAGTATTGAATTCTCGGTTTGTGTCAAAAGTTAATTCTAAATCACCACTGTATTCAAGACTAAGATGCTTGAGGATCAATCTAGTGAATATTTCTCTAATAGCAATTGTTAATAATTCTAAACACGATGTCTAGATCCTGTGGCATATACTTTATCCAACACAAAAAATACAAAAAGGAATTCATTTTTACTAAAATGGGCGTACAAAAAACCACTTAGTTGGAATGTGGGCCCAAAATTGTGGTAATCAAAGAAAAATCACGTTTTAAACGGAGTTATTGAAAAAATATAATAATAAAAATTAATTTTCAATTCAACTGCAAAATTTACACTTCCATGGAAGCAAAACTCCTTTTTTTATAGTTTTTATTACATATAATCACAAGATTTTTTTTGGAAACTCTATCAGATTTTTTTTTCACTATTGAACATTATTCTTAGTGGGACACTAAAATTGGATATGGCCACTATGCATTTCTTCCTCTCGTAACGCCTTCGAAATGGTATTTTAGAACGTCTTGAATTATTGATTCTTGGAATGGCATCAGTGAAATTGGATTATCCTTTTGGTTATTCGCACTTATCTAATTGCCAACAGGAAGAGGATTATATGTTATACAGTAAGGTATGTTGTCAAAAGAGATCGGAGGTCATTCTCGAAGGTGGGATGAGATTCCACCTACGGCAACAAACCTTGTTGGAGTCAATTAAAAAATTTCCGAAAATGTTCATCTCTATCTTGTTACTTTCTAATTTAGACTTTTAACATATTCTGATCCTAGTCTCCACATGCAGAGAAAGACAAATCACGACAGTGCCTTCGCGTTGTTCAGGCATGAAGATCTGTTCCCAGCTTGATCGATTCCACAAAATAAAAGAAAAATAATGAAGAACTGGTGGTGCTTAACAGCGCAAACATTCTCTCATTAAATCATTTTAACAAAACTGAGACTTTGGACATTTTAAGCATTTTTTACCCTATTTCAAGGGAAATAATTAAAACAAATATTTGGAGTTGTTGAGAACACTTTTTATGCATTGCATTAACCTCAAGAAGAAATTACGCCAAAACTACTAGTTTTTTTCAAACACTGTAAATTACCTTTCTAAAGATTTAAGTATTTAAAAAAATATATTATAAAAAGTTTCTTTCATCACTATTGGATTTTTGAAATGTTCCTTTGTTGCAATTTTGGAAATTATAGAGAATATGCCGAGATTTTTACTGACCTTTCAAAGAAGAGGAAAATGGATTCGTTTGTGAGAAAATAATTGTTTAAAAATTACGTATATTTTAGGCACAATTGCGCGATAAAAAATTCACATTTTCGAAAAACAATACATAGCCTGATTTCAATTTCTGTGTTTGAACAATATATTTTATTACGGAATAAGTGTCCATCTTCAATATTGTAGTTGTGGAGAAACGCCGAAAAAAATTGAAATTTTGCAGTTTCTAAAAGATGAAGTATTTGAACGAAAATTAAATTTTCATTGTTGTAATGATTGTTTAAAATATTTTTCATATTATTCACTAAGGCCATTCCTTACTTAACTGAATATTTTTTATTCTTGTGTTACATTTCACGAATATTCTGGGTTCTATTTTTTGTGTGTTTTGCTTTATGTTAATTATGAAAGTTAAGTGTGTTACTTGTGTGTGTGTGTGTGTGCGCGTGCGTGTGCATGTGTGTGCGGGCGCACATCAAGTGTGGGAGTGTTAGGAAAAGATAAAAGAGGATTGGGTGAATAAAAGGAGTGTGAGATAGAGAGTGAGGCATTTATACGGTAGAATGATGTAGAAAGAGTTAGTGACAAGGAGAGAGCATGAGGGAGAAAGAGAGGGACGGAGAGAGAAGAAGAGAGAGAGGGACGGAAAGGCAGAGGGACGGAGAGACAGAGGGACGGAGAGACAGAGGGACGGAGAGACAGGGAGGGGTGGACAGACAGGGAGGGACGGAGAGACAGAGGGAGGGAGAGAGCGGGCGAGAGCGACTTACTTGAGGCGGCGGCGGTCGCGGGCATTGGGGACGATGTCGGAGAGGCGGCGGCGCAGGAAGGCCGGGCGCAGGCGGTCGCGCACGATCTCCTCCACCAGCTTCGTTACCTCCCGCCACAGGCGCTTGCGCAGCGCGGCCTCTGCACAGCACTTAAAACTTTTAGTATAGATTCCAAATAACAAAAAAATAAGTTTATGTGAACTTACACTATGTGATCAAAAGTATTCGGACAGTGCAAACTCGTGTGGAGGGGGCTTGCAGCCCTTGTTTTCTTTGGCACTATCACGGCACTGCCCTACGTTGATGTTTAAACATCTTCTTGCTTCCCAATGTTGAAGAGCAATTCGAGGCTGGCGATTGCATCTTTCAACACGATCGAGTGGTAACACTACAATAACATCCCTGTAATGGACTGGCCTGCACAGGATCCTGGCTTGAATCCTGTCGAACACCTTTGGGAGGTTTTGGGACGCCGACTTTGTGCCAGGCCTCACCGACCTACACCGATACCTCTCCTCAGTGCAGCATTCCTTGAAGAATGGTCTGCCATTCTCCAAGAAACTTTCCAGCACCTGATTGAAAGTATGCCCGCGAAAGTGGAAGCTGTCATCAAGGCTAAGGGTGGACCAATTGATTTCCAGCATTACCGATGGAGGGCTCCACTAGCTGATAAGTCATTTTCATTCATGTGTCCAGATACTTTAATCACATAGTGCATTATGCTGAAATGAACTATTTTGCATATTAATTGTAAACAAATTTTGTTATTATTATTTTACTTAAGTATTACTGATGCGAAAATGTACGTGCTCTTGAAGCACCCCTAGTTTAATTCTAACATGGAAATACCTTTTGAAAGAGGAATGTTAAAAATGGTATCCCGTACGCAAACCGAGAATTTTCACACATTGGTATTATTATTTCTGAATAACACGAATATCATTTCATCGAAATATTCGAAAATACGAACTTCCCTTCCCCTTATCAATATCCAGGTATTGCCATTCAACAATGTTATACATTCTTTTGAGTTTTCAATGATATTACATAACTCACTTCATTGTTTTATGAACATACATTCAAGACTGGAATACGTGTTTACGGAAGTTAATTCGTACGAGTGCTGTATTTGTTATTAATGAAACGTTTGACATGAGCATCAAAATGAAAAATGTAACACATATTACTGTGACGCAAATGTAATTTCATTTGCGAAAATTCTGACAACATAACAAGCTGTACTTAATTTTGAACTCTGTTCTATTAAATATTTGTTTCAATCTTTTCCATTTAGGATAAAATGAAATGAAATCGGTTAAAATCTGTTATTAATGAAACATTTGATATTAGCATAAAAATAAAACGCATATTTTTGTGATACAAATGCTATTTCATTGAAGAAAAGTCAAGACAAAGCAGGATGTACTTAATTTTGATGCAGGCCTAAACTCTCCAAATAATAATATATGCGTACATTCAAAACAATTTATAAAGGGACCCAGCATCACTGTTATTCTGCGCCACACGCTCATACGGCATTCCATCTACTATATTGTCCTTTCTAACCTATTTATTAAAACAATTAAAGAAACGATTATTACGACATTGAATATTACTAACAATACTTATTTTTTACTGACACATATTATAGCTTTCGATACAGAGATCGATATGCATTGCATAACTTACCTGGATCGACAGGATTAGGGGTTACGAGGAAAATATGAAAACAGTTGAATAATGTTACATGTTAAGTAATGTATATGAAGGGCATTACTGTGAGGGAAATATGAAAAGTCAAACCCAGCTATTGAAATTAGGTAAAAAAATTAAATCTTGTATGTACCAAAAGCATTAACTGGTTCTAATGATCAAGGGGCGACAAAAAGTCCGATTGACTTGAAATTAGAATAAATAGCAGATAACATAGTTTAAATTTCTAATTTTGCAAAATATATTTCATTAATAAAAATTCTATCTTCAATATTGTTGGTGTTTGAGGCGGTAAACAAAGTTGAAACTTTTACAATTTTCAAAAATACGGAGTTGGGAGTGAATATCGGACCTATGGCATTTTTATAAGCGTATTTTACTCTATTCGACTAATAGCATTTAAATAAAACTACTGATTACCCAGAATGGCACAGACTTTCCCGAATTAGTTTAATATTTCCTTTGGTATCGGCTCGCTATTCGGGTTTGCCACATACTCTTGCCAGCTGCCATCTAACGCCACCCAAAGTACATTTTTTTGAAATTTCCTAACGTTTTTCTTTTTCTAATAGTAGAACGGAAATATTATTTTAAGAATATTAAAGATCAGTAAAACTTCGTCGTAAATGGAAATTTTCATTCAAAAATTTGTTTTTTAGAAAATGGCGTTTAAGCGCTATTCTGAGTTGGAAATTTGAACTACTTTCCAAAGTAAATATTGGATTTTTCAAAAACTTCATATGAAGTCATTTCAAGCACTTCTACTCACAAATGCAATAGTGATTACAAATTGCTGGAAATGCGCCTCTGAAAGGCGTGAGATATATTTCAAACAAATTAAATTTTATGAAATTTTTGAAGAAAAAAAGGAATACAGCAAAATTAATTATTTCGTCTTAAACAGTGTAATTAGCGCTATACGCCGGAAACGTTTTAAGAAAAAATTTCGACCCGTTTTTAAGTAAATGGCGTTTCAACGTTTTAGAAAATGCGGAATTTTGAGCTCGTTTTCACAGAACATGGTTAGTTTTCGAGAAACTTCATATGACATCATTTGAAGAACATATACGTATAAATACATTAACGTTAACACATTGCCACTAGTATAAATATTAACGACGTGAGATATTATTAAAAAATAATTTTAATAATTATTGAAAAAAAGCAAATGTAGCGTTTATGTCACCGCGTAGAATGCATTTAGTACTATCCCCACCAATGTTTAAAGAAAACGTTTGGATCCGTTTTGGAGAAAATCTTTGCTTTTGTAATTTTTTAAAATTGCAAATCTTGCACACAGTATTGTTCGAAAACTACTAATATTTTCAAAAAAATGTACGTGACATGATTGAAAGAGCTAAAAATGCATTACAAACCGTATTTGAAGGAAATATCTCCATCTTTAATTTTGTAGTTAAAGGAAAACTCGGAAAAACCTTCAAATTTTGCAAATTTTGAAAATTCATAGTTAACCGTGAAAATCGGACCTCTGCCACCTTTATAAGAGATTTTACTCTCGTTTCACAAGAAATTTAAAACAATTTGAGCCATTTTTTTTATTAAGTTTTGAAAGTCTGTGGGGCTTAATGTAAAGTACACCCAAATTTTAAAGAAAGTTGTTCATAATCTCGGCGCTTCGAGTTTAGCCAGATCGACCAGGGAATATCGTATGGTTTAGGCGCTAATAGTGTTCGCAGACTGTCAGACGGATGGACGGACGTTTTGAAAAGAACCTCTTTTTCGGTATCAGGGGACCCCAAAATGAAAAGATTCGTTTCGAATTCGAGGGCCACAATATCTGCCACATTAATCGGGGAATATACGTTTTGATGAAAATTGTGTGTAATTATAGACCAGGTGTGTCCAACTCGCAAGGTCTCAAGAGCCACAACTAAAACTTTTGATATGATATCAGGCCGTATTTTCATTGCTTGGGCCATCCGCACATGACTTCTCCGAAATGTTGATCTCGGCACTTTGCTCTGAAACCGGGGTGGGTGGGTTGGTGGGTGTGTGGAATGGAACCACGAATGATATCAGGTCGTAGTATTCATAAAGTAGGGAAACCAATTGGAATGATTTTGAATTTCAGAACTAACTAGAAAAAAATCCTTTAATCTAAACTTTACCTAGCTTTACAGTAAAGATGGTGTTGACCCCCGCAGGGTGCGTGTGCTAGTCGCAATATTCTCACCAGACAAGGATGCATGAGACTTTTACGTTTGACTAATAACCTTTCAGTGGCCACAGTAAATGGTATCGAAGGCCTCTAATAGAACACCCCTGTTATAGGTCGCCGATTTCTTTTCAGATCACGGATAGACCTTTCGAAAAAAATATTATATTTTGCAACTAGTTTATAATGTGAAGCTATATTGCTTAAGGACACGATTTGAAAACGAGCGACATCAGGAGCCAAGTATCAAATTTGTATGAATGCAATAATGCTGCATTGAAAAAGAATTGCATGTTATACTTTTATATAATAGCATTTTTATATAAAACAAATTTAAAAGTATCACCATTAATTTTGGAAACAAATTTCATAAGCCAAGTTTTGTAGTTGGCAACAAGGACGTTGGTATTATGACGTCACGCGTACTTAACATTTGTACGGGAAACGATGGTCATCTCTACAGTCCACCGCCATCACACACGAGTCACCCACTGCTATTCGCTGTGTGTGTATGTGTGTGTGTGTGTGTGTGTGTGTGTGTGTGTGTGTGTGTGTGTGTGATGCTATTATACGTGACATGAACGACTAATACCTTATAATCTGTACCATAAACTGTCGTTTTATGAGCCATTTCATGCAACGAAAAAAGTATTTTTCAATGCTGGTGTTCAAAAAAACAGTTTCGTCATCAACCCGAAAACGTGGACTTTGACGAGAGCAACAAAGTATTTCCCGTATATATCGAAGGACGTAAAAAACATATTTTATATATTAGGGATATTTTCGCGCTTTTTCTTTCAATATTACAAAACTTCGTATAATCGGAGTGTACGAGAAAATATAAAACTAAACTCTTGACCCATTCCTTCGAGTACATCTTTTTCCAACAAATCCTATTTACTCTTTTATCGATGACGGAAACTGAAGTGCCTTTCTTCAGCAATCGAATCTTAAACAGAATGCACAAATTTACTCTGACTTCAAGCGCTAGATTGACGAAATTCAAATATATCTGAAAAACACACTGGATAATGCTAATTTCTTTAAACGCTTTTCAAATCTGTCGGTGCGTTACATGGCAATGCTGTGTTGATGTTAGTCATCAGATTACGTAAGGCATTTTGAGTTTCGCGGGAAGTCCCTGGAATCAGTAGGTTACTGTTGAAATGGTTACTGTGTGCAGTGTGTGGAAACATGCAGGCATTTTTTTACTCCAAACATCCTACTACCTTATACAACAGAGGACAA